CTCTGTAAATTTGGGTAAAAAATTTCTTCGCATATCTCGCATAAGAAAAATTTCTGTGACCAGAATTTTGGCGAGAGTCTTTGCATATTTGCCTTCTTTTATTTCCCAGATTCTGGACTTTATCTATTGACTGGTTTTGTTTTTTTATTTTGATCTATTTTGAATTGCGTGACACTGAAAATGAGCAATTGTTCTTTAATCCATCTACAAATTATTTATTAACTACAAGCGGCTACTTGAAAATTGGAAAGCAAGAATTCTCAAGATTATGATCACATGGTCTTAATTTGGGAAAGAAACCTTCCGAGCTACCCCACCAACCCGTGCTTCGAGGATTTTTTTTTGATCTCGCTCCAATTTGCGCTCGGTCAGAATGCAGAAAAAGCTCTTCGTACGGGGACGCTTGCTACGGTGGCTAAGCTTGTAGGTTCTATGGAGACCTCTCGGAGAAATTGGAAGGTGAACCAGCATGTTATGTGTACAATCAAACCACAACCAGGACTTAACGGTTTCAGTTTTTTGATTTGCCCAGAGCCCCCAGGCATTCGGTCACCGCTGACCGAAATAGCGTGGGGTCTGGGGATGAGAGTGGCCTGTCAGGAACAAGCTGGAATATTTAGAGCACGCACGAAACAGGTGTGGGGATCAAAATTTGACTCTGTCAATATGGGCATGCTTTTTATAAACGCTCGGTAATAGATGGTTCGAGGTGCGAGATGGTAACCCTCATACTGAGTATCACTTCATATATACAGCATTTTAGATGACGAACTTCTATTTTCTCGTTACCTGCTTGCTATGCATTATATTGTTATTCTAAGGAGAACTCGACTTTTGATCACTCTAGGAGAAACAGAACGACGTTCACTGGATGTTGAATTGTATTGTGTCATCCCTGGAGCGGGGATCCTCTAAAGAACCTCTCTTTGAGTTCACGCCTGAGTTCTACATGGAGGCCGCTATCAATGCGTTTCACGGGCTCAGGCACTACTTCCATCCTACTACAAACTTCGACGATATTCCAGGTACAAAGTCTTCTTTTCTTTCGGAATCTTGTAGGCTAGTGCTTTTACTGGTCATAATCTTGAGTTTCAAAACATGGGAATCTTGCCTCATAAGCATACGACTTGGGGTAGAATTGACTCCGAAAGTTAAAATAGCTTTAGAGGCTTAGTCACAGGCGAAAGTCATGGCTCTATGTGAGTACTATTAAAAAAGATATTAGCTATCAAACACTGCAAAATTGCTGGGTGGCAAAAGCGATAATGATAATTGTTGATTTATTCTATTAATTCTCATGGAAGCAAAATTGTGAAACGAGTCGCCTCCGAAAGTTCAAAGAGCTTTTGAAGAATAAGTCCTATGTGAGTACTGTTAAAAGAGATATTAGCTCTCCAACGCTGCGAAACTGCTGAGTGGCAAAAGCGATAACGACGCTATACGATGTTTGTAGTTAAAATATTGCCATGCCATGAGATTTAACTTAATTATTGCCATTATTGCTCGAATGTTCTGTGGAAATCCTCGTAATTTTTTTTTTTTTCTATCTGCTCAGCTTGTTCAGTTTTCTTTCTTTTTTTAGTAGTTTTTCTTTTTGCTTAATTAAGTTAATTGTTTTATATGCTGTATTTTTTTCTTTTCTTGTAAATGTGGCAAAATACAATGGTTGGTTGTTTTTTCGGTTGTTGCCAACATTTCGTCAACACCCATTCAAACAACAGGTTGGGATGGTATAGATGGGGTTAACTAACAACTGACAAACACCGGAAAATTTAAATTACAACAGACATTTGTTCTCAGATTTACTTACAACAAACCCAAGGGCTTAGCCCTTGATATTCGTTTGATATTCATTGCAATATTATTATTTTAAGTCGGTAAATATTAATCATTTACAATTGGACCCTCATACTGTCTGTTACATGATCACCCATTGAAGGCCACGCGCTTCAGCCGGGTCACAGAGAAAATCGAGATGTCAGCTGTTATTTTATATTCCCGGGATTTTCGGTTGACTGGTTCGCTTTTCAAAAATTCAACAACTTCTTGAAACCTATGTGGGAAATTTTCTTGCCCGGCATTTGTCACCGTTTCGAAATTTTCGGAATTTTTGGTTGAATTGAAAGTGTCCTAGGAGAGGTTATAGGTCTTCAAACAACCTAAGGAAACCTGTCTCATTCTCCCCATTATGTGGTTGTCAATTAAGCTCTAATTATTTATTTGTCTGATTTGCTTTGTTTGGGTTTAGATGCTTACGTCCCCAACCACGTTTTCCTCGACGACAAAGTTCACTTTTGGGACCTTCCAAGGTAAGATCATACACAAGATAGATAATTCCAAAAAAACAAAGTTTGCGAAGCTGCCAATATAACCGTTTTGGAAGCTTTGCGCTTTTAAAAATATAACAGGGGAAAGAAAATTACTCTAGTTGTGTTGATGGAAACATTATTGCTTAAATTCTTCTTGGTTCAGAAGAATAAGGGGAGGAAACTTTCTGGATTTTAAATTTGCCATATTCGTACTTAATCCTCCGTAAGAAAAAATACGGTGACTGGTACATTTACCCATAATTCTTAGCACACGTTAACATAAACAATGCTCATAAAATCGAACAGAAACGTTCTAACATCGTCAAACCGAGCAATCATAATGTCATTAGCACAGGGACAAATATTGCAAGAAACATGACTTTCCCTGTACCTTATGGGCTGTGCAAGGTTCGCATGGTGTTGTGGTAAAATGTACAACTGCCATATTTTTTCCTTAGGAGAATTTCGCGATTTCGGCTCAGCTTTTATTTACGAGGTTTAATTTCGCGGTTTCAAGAAGGCAAAATGAAAATAAAAAGAGCCTTAAATTTCGCGAAAGTACGTCAACAAAGGTTTTATTTTTATGAACTTTACAAAGGTAATGAATCTTCAATATACCGTACAAGCACAGCCAGTAATTCGCTTGTGCAACACTTTTGTGAGACTTCTATTTAAGCGGACACCCTTGGGACACTCATTAGTGACCGCTTAATACAGGGTGCCCACTCCACTAAACTGGTTTTAATATGTTGTGCAATGATAGTTAACTAGTAACCCTTTTATAACACGGTGTAAGACAGTGTAACACAGTGTAAGACCAAAGAGTGCTCACAGCACAATGTCCAGTTAGTTGTCAATGCATCAATCTGGAATAATCTACTTCGCTTTAAAACAACATCGCTGAACGGCTTTTAGCAAAAAGCCCTTGAAAAGTCTGCTTATTGCAGGTTTTGTCAGGTTTTGTGCAACAAAATGGCTTAGTACTGGTGTTTGCGTCCGCCTAACAGAGGTGTCCGCTGAATGCAGTTTATTTTACAGTAAATGTGGGGGAAAAAAAATTTAGGGACTCACGCTGGTGTCCGCTTAATAGAGGGTGCCCGCTTAATATGAAGAGAGAGGAATAACGGAGGGTCGTTAATCTTGGGACTTTTCGGTGTTATTTAGTTCAGTTCTGGCCCTCTCTGTGTCATGCAACGCTACGTTCCTAAGAGTGTACCGTTGCGTGACAGAGAGGGTGAAAACTGGTCTTGCTGTTGTTTAAGGACGTTCGTGCTAATTGTCTCTGCGCATCCTTACTGTGCACGCAAATTCGTACGCCACGTCATGCATGAGAGCGCGCGCTAAGTAATAAAATGAACAATGACAGGGCAGATGGCCAATGCTATAGCTTTGCCTGGATTTAACGATCTTGGACGTTCGATGACCCCTATTTTTCTTTTGATGGATCGTTTTCTCTACCGATTTCCTACGTTTAGCGAAAAAATGAAGAAAATCTCTGGACTAAAAGTTTGAATTTTTTGCAAAATGCACCATCGAATTCCGTTCTTTTTAGCTCTTCGTTTATCTGTGCGACAGTTTCAATTGCTTCTTGAAGGGTTAAGTTTTGTGAAAACGTTGGTAACATTTGGAATTATTTACGCAACAGACCCACTTCTACAAAATATGACTAAGATCGTTTGCCTCCGTTGACTCACCTTCGATATTTTTAACTATAAACCCCTGTAGACCATGCTGAATTACGTGCACCAATTTTTCAAAATCAGCCGAGTAGTTTTCCACGCGCTTTATCTCTGAAAGCAAGTCGGTGACTTCCAATTTTTTTTTACATTTCTGACACAAGTAACTCATTATCTGACCGCAGTAAAAAATTTTAAAAAATCTATCGACTGGAAAATTTTCGCGCGAACGTCCTTAAAACGATAGCCAGCAAATCATAACACTAGTATAATAGGATAAGGATCTATCTCAGTTATAAGTTTTCCTTAAATTTTCGGCGATTTCTTAGCTATCGGTTAGCAACCCATTTCTCAGGTATCAATTAATTTTGCAGATCTCAGATCTCACCCGGTAGAAACCGGACCACTTCTCAGCTGACAGTTGATATAAACATTTGACCAATTCAAACTCCATCCACACCCTCATAGATTGCTCTTTGTTGTTGTCTTTCCATAGACTCGGTGGCGTGCTGTCACATCTCAAAAAAGCCTACCCTGGTAAGTCACATAATCCTGACATCGCTGCGTATTGTAAAATGATATTGGGAATTTGTAGGCCAACGTTGCGCTAATTTTGTTCGGTAAAACACGTTGTGGGAGACCTGGGATTGAGAACCAGACCCCTTTGTATGCACCTGCCGCGCGATCATAACTATTTGGGAGAAAAATTGTAGTCGGACCAAAGTTGAAAACTTTCAATTCTTTCCAATTCGGAGGATCTAAGGAGTCTGTTGTTTTCCGTCTGCTGATCGTTTCCTTTATATATCATATTAGAATAAATCTACCAGCGTTCTATCACGAATGGCGTTCACTGATTGGCTACACTACTCATTATCTATTCTATTGCAGGTAGTGAGTAGCGTAGCAGTGAGCGCTTGTTAACAAACTGGCGGCCGCTTCTTTGCGTTTTCGAAGTGTCTGTGAAGAGGATTTGGACAAAGTTTTGATCGACTAGTAGATTTATACTAATTAGAAACAATATTAGATTACTCGCCCTCGATTTCTATGCGTGATAGTTGACTCGGGCTGCGCCCTCGTCAACTATCGCGCGATAGAAATCTCGAGCTCATAATCTAATTGTTAAATAGACCATTCTAAGTTAACCTGAGCATTTTAATAACCCCGACATGGGTTTACCTTAAACACTCGATCCGAAATTTCACTCATTAACCTTCAGGGCATCGCGTCTCACTAAATTAACTTTTATACGTAGAGGTTTTACACTCT